CGGGCACCGGGCACCCCACCCGCCACGCTGCGTTGTAATCCGCCATCGCACGCTGCTGTGTCTCTCCAGGCTACTGCAGCAGAGTGGATTGCAAAATTGTGTCGTCTTGGATTCTACCAGACATGGTTCGATATGCTGGACATTAAGGCAGTCAAGTGTAACACCAAATCTTCTATAAAATGACTAATGAAAAGACAAAGTATAATAAAATGCTGCAGTAATTATATAAAATCATAAATTGTTCTTGTTATCCTGGTGATGATGTTTGGGTATCATTTGCTTACGTGGATTTCAAGGTCAGACAGTTCAACTTTAATGCAAAACCTCATCAACTAGAGCAAGATGGAGTTACAGCATATTAACTGGATTCTTAGTTAAGTCGACTTGAATTTTCTTCTTTAAAAAACCAACGAACCATAAAATGCTTGCACCCTCCCTGTTTCCCAGCAACTGCTTCCAAGTTTGCTGACAAGACGCAAGGGGTGATCTTTTAACTTACTGCTCACGTGGCAGTACCTGAGATCAAAGGACCATTGTAAAGCCTCTCGCAGAGACACAAGTCACCCTTGCTATGAACCCAGGAAGGAGGTCTACCACATTTTAGTTGTGAAGGTAAAAAAACTTTGGAGGGACGACATGGTAGTGTTTCCCTTTGTGCATCAAATTAACGAATTTGAAGGAACAAAATGAAGGAGCGATTTGTCAGAAGAGCCAAAAAAAGTAATAGTCAAAGGAATGTTACTCTTTTTTAAGCAAAAATCCAGGACATACACATCAAACGTCAAGAAAATGGGTGTGTTGAGTGCTTAGATGTGGAGAGGATCAGACAGCTTGCGTAACTTGCACATCTAATTTTCAAGCTATGGTTCAGGAGCCAAGATACCTCTATAGGAGATGTAGCTGTACAGCAACACAGGTGACAGAAGAGGCCAGACAGAAGCTATCTATATTTTCAGTGACTGAAGAGCTGGTTGAATTACCAGGACACGGAACGCCACAGAGTAGAGCTGAGTGCGGAGGTACCATCAGCTAAGTCTGGTTGAGATGAGAGCGCTGCACCAGTGCCCTGCCGTGTCCTAAGGAGACTGAATTTGCGGAGCACCTGACAGGCCCCCCTGCAGCCTGCTAAGCTGCATTACACAGCGCTGCAGTGTGCTGTTAGTTTTCTATTACAGAAAGGGATCTACTAGGGAAGGGAAGGCCCTATTGGCGACCGGACCCACTTCTGAGGGAATTCTGCTGCCTCCCTGGGGCCAGGGTCAAGGACGTAAAAGAAAACTTCCTACCCCGGTTCTTCCCTCAGATTACTACCTGTTATTAATTTTTCAAGTAGGTAGTGGTGAACTTAAATCAAGAAGTCCACGGGCCGTGAAAAGAGACTTCAGGGCCCTGGGTCAGCTGGTTGAGGGATCGGGAGCACAAGTGGTGTTCTCCTCTATCCCTCCAATTGCAGGGAGCGATGAGGGTTTTGTCAGGAAGAGCCATCAGACGAATTCTTGGCTTTGAGCCTGGTGTCACCAGCAGAACTTTGGGTTCTTTGACCATGGGTTTGACCATAAGACACCCAGCCTTCCCTCTAGTCTCAAAGAGGGAAAAGGACCAGAATTAGCAGGGCTTATAGAAAGAGCTTTAAACTAGCTTCGAGGGGGGGACAGGAATGAAACCAGGCTTGCCAGAGAGGAGACTGGATGTGGCATATCGGTGCTCGTGGGTCGGTGCGCTGGTGTGTTCTTTCAGGCTGACATCTCAGTGGAGGTGGGGGATGGTGACCCAAAAACACTAGGCTTGATGATAAGTTAGTGACCATGGAAGAGGCTGAGAATGGTCAGGTAGGAATTAGAACTTCTCCTCCCAAAATGGAGGCAGGGTCCATAGCTTGGCTGAAGTGCACCTATACTAATGCACGCAGCATGGTCAACAAGCAGGAGGAGCTGGAGACAATTCTGCAGCAAGAAAACTATGATATAGCTGTCATCATGGAAACCTGGTGGGATGGCTCCCACAAGTGGAGCCCTGCAACCAATGGCTACCAGCTGCTCAGAAGGGATAGGCGAGGAAGAAGAGGTGGTGGGGTGGCCCTCTGTATTAGGGAGACATATGAATGCACATAAATTAATGACAGTGATGATAGGGTCAAGTCACTATGGGTAAGAATCAGAGGAAAGGCAAACAAGGCTGATATCATGGTGGGAATCTCTTACAGACCACCCAACCAGGATGAAGAGGTGGATGGAATATTTTATAAGCAGTTGGGAGAAGTTTCACAATCACTACTCCCCTTGTGGGGGACTTTAATTTTCCAGATATCTGCTGGAAATACAATACAGCAGAGAGAGAACAGTCCCAGAGATTCCTGGAGTGTGTGGAAGAGAACTTCCTGACACAGCTGGTAAGGGAGCCAAGCAGGGAGGGTGCTCTCCTGGACCTGCTCCTTGTGAACAGAGAAGATCTTGGGGGGGGGAAGTAAAGGCTGGAGGCCGTCTTGGGCATAGCGACCGTGAAATGCTAGAGTTTTCAATCCTTGGGGCAGTAAGGAGGGGGGTCAGTAAAACTGCTGTCTTGGCCTTCTGGAGGGCAGACTTTGGCCTGTTCAGGAGACTGATTGTCAAAGTCACTTGGGAGGCAGCCCTGAAGGGTAAAGGTGTCCGGGAAGGCTGGACATACTTTGAGAAGGAAGTCTTAAAGGCGTAGGAGCAGGCTGTCCCCATGCGCTGAAAAACAAGTCGGAGGGGAAGAAGACTGGCCTGGCTGAATAGGAACCTTTGGCATGACCACAGGAACAGAAGGAGAATTTGAGACTTTTGGAAGAGGGGGCAGGTCTCTCATGAGGACTATGAAGAAGTAGTGAGGCTCTGCAGGGAGACAATTAGGAGAGCCAAAGCCCAATTAGAACTTAAACTAGCCAGAGCTGTTAAGGACAATAAAAATGTTTCTATAAATGCATCAACAACAACAGGAGGGCTGGGGACAGTCTTCCTCCTTTACTAGATAGAGAGGGAGACACCGTGACAAAAGATGAGGAAAAGGCTGAGGTGCTCAATGCTGCCTTTGCTGCAGTCTTTAGCAGTAGAACCAGTTGTTCCCCAGACACCCAGCCCCTTGAGCTGGAGGAGAGGGAGCAGGGGCAGAATGTTGCCTTCACAATGGAAGAGGAAGTGGTCAGTGACCTACTGCAGCACTTAGATGCACACAAGTCTGTGGGGCCGGATGGGCTACATCCAGGAGTATGGAAAGAGTTGGCGGATGTGCTCACCAAGCCTCTTTCCATCATCTACCAGAACTCCTGGCTAACTGGGAGGTCCCAGTGGACTGAAGAATAGCAAACATGACACCCATCTACAAGAAAGGCCGGAAGGAGGATCCAGGAAAGTACAGACCTGTTAGTCTGACTGTGGTGCCAGGGAAGGTGGTGGAGCAGATCCTCTTGGGTGCCATCACAAGTCGTTTACAGAACAGCCAGGTGATCGGGCCCAGTCAGCATGGGTTTATGAAAGGCAGGCCCTGCTTAACGAACCTGATCTCCTTCTGTGACAAGATGACCCACCGGATGGATGAGGGAAAGGCAGTGGATATTGTTTACCTCGATCTCCGTAAAGCCTTCAACACTGTTTCCCATGGAATTCCAGTGAAGAAATGGGCTGCTCATGGCTTGGGTGAGCACATGCTCTGCTGGGTAAAACACTGGCTGGACGGCCGGGCCCAGAGAGTGGTGATCAGTGGGGTTAAGTCCTGCTGGCGGACGGTCACACAGGGTGTTCCCCAGGGGTCAGTGCCAGGGCCACTCCTGTTTAACATACTTATCAATAATCTCCACGAAGGGATGGAGTGCTCCCTCAGTCCGTTTGCAGGTGACACTGAATTGGGTGGCAGTGTTGATCTGCTGGAGGGCAGGAAGGCTCTGCAGAGGGATCTGGACAGGCTGGATCGCTGGGCCAAGGCCAACTGTGTGAGGTTCAACAAGGCCAAGTGGCAGGTCCTGCCCTTGGGTCACACCAACCCCAGCAGCGCTGCAGGCTGGGGATCTTGGAATCCTCTACAGCAATCTTTGCTGTTGTCTCATTAGTGGTATTTCACTGTTTGCATCTGGATGCCTAACTCTTGGGCTGTCGGCACTTCCTGTGCTAAAACTTCATCGTACCACCCCTTCAAGAAGCCCAACCATACCACAGAATAATGGAAAGGCTTCCTGATTTTATGGAGATGACAAACATTTCACTGAATTTTCTGACTTTGTTGCTTGCTCATAGGAAAGAGAATGCAAGAAAAACCTGGCCTTGGGCTGCAAGTTAGGACTGATCAGTAATTTTGCTCTAGGTTGTGCCCTCACCTGTGTGATTTCTGTGGTAGATCTACCATTGCTTCAGGGCTAGTCAAGAGAAAAGCATCATTTTTGTCTCTTGGGATTTACTTTGGTTTTCAAAGGATCCTCTCAGGAAAATCCTAAATACTTTTTCAATGACTGGCTTTGCTTTGATTTAACACCTAGATAAAGCAGAGCTCTTCTTACATAGGAAAACCTTAGGCCTATGATCATTTCAAAGGAGTCTGCTTTCTTCAGTGTTTTGGTATAAAAAGAGAATATTGCCATATTGGGTGAAAAATATTGGCCGTTTCACGATATAGTCAAATTTCTGCAGGAAATTAATGCTCAATTCACCTTTAATATATTTGAGAGTGTTACACAAGCCGCTCGGTGTACTTGCTTATCATTGTGTAGCAGCAAGTACTGGGAACAGAACACAGGTAATCGTTGAAATAATGGACTGAAGATATCAAAGTGCATAACTGCTCAGTTTAAAATCAGCAAACAAATCCCTTTCATCAGGTCCGCTTTATTTTTCAGAATTGTAAATCACAGTACAGATCCAGTCTAGTGAGACAACAGCTTTGCAGTATCACGCCAACAAAGGCAGCGCAGGAACAGGTTGCTTTTTTTTAGTCTAAACGTGGTGCTGTAAGAAATAATGCCTTCCCATACACAGGAGATAGTCTGGCACACGTCATTTGGGAAACACTTCACTTGGAACGGGCTGGCCATTGAGAACAGCCAGCATATTTGCTACTGCTTCCTCTGCCATCATACGGATAGCTTGGACTGTTGCGGTTCCAATGTGAGGGGTTATGACGATGTTATTTAATTTTAATAAGGGATGATCTCTGTAAGAAACAGAAAGAACAGACCGTATTACCCAGGGAATGTACTCGTCAGCTACCTCACGCTGGTCGTTGAGAACCCAACCTCAGGGAACAGCAACGGCACGTTGAGATAAAAGGGCCACAAGCACAGACCCAGCAGAGAGCCGTGGGAAGCTGGCTAACCCAGTTCTTCCTCTCTGTTGGTCTCGTTGCCTTGCCGGTCAGGCTGGCAAAGAACTGACAGACGTGGGAAGGGCGAATAGTTTGTCATTTATTTACGGTTCTGCGAGACAGGCTGAGGTTCTGCCCTTCAACAGTGAGAGAGGCTCCTCACGGAGACCGAGGTTGCGAGCGTGCTTTCGCCCACAGCTTAAAACATTTCAGATTAATAGAACAGAAACCAGGTTTCTTTACCTTGGCAGAGGCTCAGGGTACGTCACGTCCAGGGCGGCAGCCCTAATAACCTTACTCTGGAGAGCTTCTACTAATGCGTCTTGGTCAATAACTGCACCTGCATTGACATGAAAGCTTGCTGCCGTGATGAGCTAATGAACATGTTTTACCTGGGGAGGGGGAAAGGTCTCAAGGGTCTACTGAGAAAAATTACAGGACCTTCTAATAACCATTAACCAAAAAAACCAGAGAGTTTATTTTTAATCTTTAATTGGAGGATTATGGTCCACTGCATAAGGCTTTTGCAGGGATGTGACTGGTTTCAGTCTTTTCCTCATTTTGACACTGACTTCCTGTATTTTTATAGATTAATCATTTAATCTGTTCAAGCTTTCCACTCTTTCATCTCTGCTTTGTTTACTGAAACTATAATCTCTCTCATATGCTTATGCAGTGCCAACAGATCTGTAATCCCGTGTGTGGTTTCTTTTCTGCATAGCTGTTCCAAATGAAACAAGTTTTTCCTTGTACCCTATTCATCCTCGGTGATGACAGACCTTTCAGTTACTTCCACAAGAAAAAGCTGTCCTTAGGATAAGGCTAAAGAGAACAGAACATCTGCTGAGCACCCCTAAATTGCACAGGACCTTTGAACACATAGTATCTGATCCGTGCCAAGTTACTCATTTGTAGACTGCCAGCTACTTCACGACTCAAGCAATAGGGGGATACCACAGACAGAGGTCCGAGCGGGGAATGTCAACATAATCAGCAGAACGCAACCCTAACTGTGGAGCCACAAACAGTGCTTTGAGATCGTCCTACCTCGGCTGATGTTTACCAGAGTCGCTGTGGGTTTCATCAGCCCCAGCTCCTTTTTCCCAATCAGTTTGTGAGTCTCGGGAGTCAGGTTCACAACCAACATCACAAAATCGGATTGCTGCAGCAAGTCTTCCATCTTCTCACAGTAGTGGGCACCAACTGCCTCTTCCTCCTCCTTTCTTCTGAAGGAAAAATGACCACACCCCCAAACTGACACAACTATTTCTAACTGGCTTTAACAATCAGTCAACCCAAGGAGAGATCTGGAACAGCACAGAGACCGAGAGGTTTGAGGCCAAGGTAAAGGAAAAGACATTGATAGGTCCAGATGGTGGAAGGGAGGCAGGAAGGATGGGGGCTTGAGGGAGCAAGAGGCTAGAGGAGCGGTGGGACACTGAGGGAGGGATGGATGTGTGAAAGCAGAGCACGTAGGCGGTGTTGGGCACTGGAGGTTGGGGATGCAGTCCGACCCCACTCTTCTCTCATGCGTCTATGCCAACCCCTGTAGGGTCTCTCCTTGCCTGGCAGGCGAGTAATGACTTGGGGTGGAAAAGGAATGAAGGGGAAGTGAAGACTGCAAGAAAGGGAACTATAAAACTAAGAGAAGTTAAGACCACTGGCAATGGTGCCAGTGTGCTGAGTGATCTGGTTGGGCTGTGGAGAGGGGTCACCGGCTGGGTGAGCCGGGGTGCTGCCAGAAGCCAAGAAGAGTCTGGCAGGACAGGGGACACGATGAGGGCACAAGGCCTGGTTTGCTTGCACAACATCTTCAGTACGCTTACACGGCCCTTGTTCCAAACTGCGGGCGGCTCGCCAGGGCAGCGCGAGCAGAGGAGGCGAGGGGGAGCTGCTTCCCAAGGGGAGCAGCAGGGAGCCAAAGCGAGGGAGCGGTGGCACGCTGGTGCTCCTCAGGCTGCTTACAACTGCCACAAGTGCCTAGGAAGAGCCGGGACACAGAGCAGAGTGGTGGTTTCCACCATTGCCCCCGACTCGTGCAGAAACCAGACAGTTTTACCTCCGGTTCCTGTTATGGTAGAGGATCCTCATGTCAAAGGCTCTGGCTCTCTGAGCCACTTTGTACCCAATGCTGCCCATCCCAATGATCCCAAGCGTCGCTCTGGTCACTTCTACTCCCAGCCAGTCAACAGCAAAATGCTTGGTGTCTGGAGAAACCGCAATCTGGCAGCCTGGATGTAAATACATGCTAAATGGGTACAAAACCGACCATAAACGTAGGTTTCGGGGAAAGAAAAAGGTTCTCACCATCACAGCAGTGGGTCTCTGGAGCACCCCTTAAAACCCATCCTAATTTTGACCAGTTTATAGACGGGCCTGAGTGATGCCATTCCCTACAGCCAGGGCTGGAGCCAGTAACACAGGGAGGCTCCTGGGTGGGTACTGTGCTGGGGGGAATGGCCTCCTCTTCCATGGCTGCAGTATGTTCTTGGAAGTTCAAAAATAGCTTCTTTGACACTTATCACCCTGCAAGCATTGACTCCACTGGTTTTTAGCTGTGGTAAATCTCATCATTTCTCTCCTGGATCACAACCCAGAGCAGCCCCATTGCTTGAGTGGGAGTGAGGGTTGCAAATTCCAACTCAGCCAGGGATCTCTACGAGGTATTATACAAAGAATCAGAAGTCCAGCAAGATGCAATCATGAGAAAATATCATGAGGAAAGAGGTATTATTTCATGCTCAGGGGTGGAGCAGTAGTGACAGAAAGACAATCAGTCCTTGAAGACAGAGGCAACTTCTTGTGACAGCCTCTGCTGACACTCTGCTTCCCCTGAAAGGAGTTGTGTAGCAAGGGCCTGTGGGGAAAAGAGCTACCTTTCAGGACACGAAGACACAGACTAATGTTGGTGGTACTGTTTGGAATAACTTTGTCAAAACGATTATCAGCTATTTCAATAATAATGCTGATGCTCTTCTGGAAATACAACCTGTTGGTTTAGACAAATTCTTCACAGAAGCAGGAAAACCCCAAAGAGTTTAATTAATGCTTTGTACCTTCCTGTAGCTCCTAACACTTGGTGCAAGGAGAAACGGAGACGTGGTGACATTTGATTTGGACGTGTTTTGTATTCAGTTTTTACAGCTGTAAACAAACCACAGCCAGAGGAGAATTAAGCCCCAGACACTATTCCAAACAGTGACCTTCAAGTGCGTAATTTAGGCCTTACTCTTGTCACTGCTGCCTTAAAAAAGAAGCGGGACACAGGAAAAGCAGAGGCCTCTAAAAATGGAGTTCTCAGAAATTTTTTCCCCATAAAAGCATCCCAAATATTGATTCGGACAGATCATCTGTATCATAGCAAAAGTGAAATATGCCAAAGAAGCAGCTAAGACCCAGGAAAATTTAAAACATTACCTTCCACTAGTCTTCTGGCAGAGGCCAGCATCAAGGCCATTCCTATGTCTGCTGTTGAGTCCGCCACGGCATGGGGGGTGTTGGTCACTTTTACGCCAAAGTTAGAAATCATTTTCAAGTCTAAGTGATCGACTCCAACCCCAGAATTTCCAATTACCTTTAAATTAGGCAGGCTTTCTAGAAGCTCCCGGTCAATAGTTGGCCTGCACTCAAACACGAAAACAGATTGGATTTTTTTGCTCATTTCTTTTTTGTTTTCAAGAAGTTCCCTCATGGTGATCACGCGAAAGTGTTTCTTCAAAAGGGCTGCAAGGTTTTCTAGCACACCATGAGATCCTCCTATGTCCAGAATCAAAACACCTGGCAACTCTTGTTCTGCCATGACCTGCAATAGGGGAATAAAAGAAATACTCCTTTGTTTAGGAGAACACCCTTAAAAGAGCGATGATTTATGATAATTTAAAGTCACATCTGTAAAACAGGAAACTGATGGAACTCAACAGTATTTTAATGATACAGGATAACTCCACAGTCACTTGGTACTAGCACGGTACGTTAGACAACCTGCCAGTATTTTCTTTAAGTGCTGATTCAGACTATAACACCAAGGAATATCCACCCCCTTAGATCTAAATCCAGTCCTACAAGGTGTTCTTCTCAAATAGTTTCATTTTAGTCCTGAATCGATCTTGATTTCATACAAATCTGGTAGATTCTCAACCTTATTTGCAGATTTGTTTCTATAAGCAGTGGCATGAAACAGAGGCCGCTGGAGAGTGACTCAAAGCTTCCTGCCTATCGATGATGGCCGGTGAAGCCACAGGGAGGCTCTGAGGCTCAGGTGGGTCTGACAAACATCTGTCAGGAATGGTTTAGGGCTAACAAATGGGCATGATGAAGGGCCATCCTTGGACAGCTGCTACCTCAACTTACCTCACACAAAATTTAGCACACCCGTGCCTATACGCTGAACCAGTGGGGAAGAGCACTAGAGGTGATAGTAGAACGTTTCCCCTGCCCAGACAGTTTTGAGCCCGGTCCCTGGGCTGGGGCTCCAGCCAGGGGCTCCACAGCCAGCCACATGCCTCAAGAGAGGCAGCCCTTACTGACAAAACTGGTAGCCGAAGATCCACTGCATGTCTTAACGACAGCCATGCCTCATCTCCTACAACCCTGTCCGCTGTGCTCCACTCACTTCAGGTCTCTATCCCATTCTGTGTCCAGGAAACCTGGTACTGTGCTAACTGAACCAGAACAATTTTCCACAGCCGTATGCGGATTTATTCTGGGCACACCATGCTGGGCAGAGATTCCCTGCTGCTTCAGCCCCCTCACAGTCAGTAACCAGATTTCAATCCTGTGGCAAAAAGGCGTCAATGCAGATGGGAAGTTTCTCTCAAATCGTATTTACCCTTGTCCTGAGCAAACTCAGACTCGTGCCAACTGCATCTATTAAATGTTTACAATCTCGACACCAGCGATACTGCTTTATCCTGGCTGTGACCTGCATTTCTGCCTCAGCTCCAGTCTGGTGCTCTACAAGGGCTAGAAGGGGCCTCTGTGGTAGGACGGGTCTGCAGTTCACCATCCACAGTGTCTCTGGTCACACTGACCAGTTCTGAACAGCAGCAAACAAAGCAATGAGATGAATAGTGCAACTGTACTGCAAAGGAATACCGCATTCTTAAATATATCTAACCTATTTCTTGCCAACTGAAGTATCTTGAACCCTGCCAGCCCCATATGGTTGTGAAAACTGTGCAAATCTCCCCAGCTGTAGTCTGTATATTTCTTGGAGTATCACACAACGTGACCTTAGAAGGATAAACTAGATTTGTCCTCCGGAATGAATGACTCGTAGAATAAAAGACAAGATTTGATGTTATATTGCGACAGCGTTGTCCAGCTTCTTGATGATCAAACCTGCTGTTCCTGCAGCAACACGCTCAGACTGGATGGCAATTACACCTTGTGCCGTTCAGTGGTAGAAAACTGGGCACCAGGTATGATCAACTGACGGGCAGATGCCAGTAAGGCAACACTGTGTTACACCATTTGCTTCATCACCTCTTCCTCCTCCACCACAATACACCACACATGAAGGTCAGTCAGCCCCGCATTGATTTTGGAAGTGCTTCCTAAACTTCACCAGCAGAGAGGGGATCCATGACGAAGCCACAGCGCAGCACAGGGAGAGCTGGTTTGGCTTTAAACAGCCCAGCTGGTGCACTAGAAACAGGCTCGTCGTATGTAATTAGTATTTTCACTAGTGTGGACATGCTGAGTCCGCCACAATTTCAGCCCTGTTTGATGCAGGCGTGAACCATTAACAGGCTGCAGCTTTGGTTCAAGAGCTGGACTTCTGCTGGTACCAGGCACCACCTTAACAAATTATATTGATAGCAGTAAATTAAAACCACCCAAAGGAACCTTGCAGAGGGAAGGGGGCTCTCCAGCTACCAACCTTGGTCTGAGAAGCACTTACTGGGTATGTCTTGCACCTCTGTCTGTAATCCGTACTTCTGTGACAGTGACATCCATGAGAGGCAATAGCTGGATGAATACATTTGTAAGCCAAATTTGACTGTCCAGACATCAAGTGAATTGGTTTCAACAGACTGAGTGCTTTGCTCCTGAACATAATTATTCAGCTATCAGATGTCTTGTCCAGTCTGCTAAATGTAAACCTGTTAAGGATATGAAAATCTTGGGTTTGGACTATATTGTAGTCTTAATATTGAAAAGATTAGATCCGTATGTAATGTGTAATGCCAATAGTCCTGCTCGTCAGGTCAGGTTCACAGACAGCCGGCCCGCTGTGTTCTGCCTGAGGGCCCAGGCGGTCTGTGCCTGGCCAGCTAAGGCAAGTCAGTCACTGTCCCAGCAACGCCTGCCTTGAACAGTAACTGAAAGACTGGCAAAAGAACAACATCCTGCCCAAAAGGCCAATTTCGTTTATGCTTAGTTTTGGAGGAGTCAGCGTAACAACAGATAATAGTGCCCTTAGAAGAACTACCCTCATTGCAATACTAAAAATACACCCCTTAATTAGAATACCCTGCCCAAAAGAGACCCTGACCCGCTGAGCATGTGGAATAACGAAGTTACGTAATTGTATGCAAATTACTAACCAACTCCATAACAGTTGGGAGGTGTCCAAGGCAGGGAATACTGAAGTAAAAGTGTGTATAAACAGTAAAGCGGACCAAGGAGGCCTGCTAGCTTTGGGGAATTATCACTGAGCACCCAGCTCTGCACAGACACGAAATAACATCCCTCTGCTCTGGGCGTGTATTGGCACATATTGCTGTGAAGGACTGTCTGATTTTTTGCCTTAAACAACCTGTTTTGCAGATTTTATGTATGTGTTGAACAAAGCTGTTTTACAGTGCATGTTTTATGTATCTGCCCTAAAACCAGCATGCCTTTCAGTACAGCCTGCTCCAGGGAGGGAACAAGCCCTGCGAAGGTGGAGCCGTGCTCCCTCCTCGGAGGTGGGAAGGTGGAGCGGTGTTCTCCTTCAGAAACTTTGGTTGGGGTGATCGATAAGGGGGCTGCAGTTGGAGTGGCTACCCAACCTCCCCTATCCAAATGGACAAACCCTACAGAAGAGGGGTGTTGCTGGACTTGGGGAGGCCCTTTCCCTTATCTATAGTGGACCAAACCCCCTTGGAGCCCCCAAAATGTTGTATACTGCGCCTGAGTCCTAAATAGCATGGAAAGCAAGAAGAGGAGGGGATAACGTGACCAGGACTCATGAATATTAATACAAAGGGACAATAAAAATACCAATAACCAAGACATGGGTGTGCACCCGCTACCGAAGAACCAAAGATCAGACTGGACCTGCAAGACATCGCTGGACCTCAGGAGTGGTGATATTTCTTTCTCTCTTTCTTTCTTCCTCCTTTCTTTCTCTTTTTCACTCTTTTTTTTTCTCACTCCATATTATTAGATAAAATTAGGGAACGCCTTACCTTTACCTGATCTGTGAAACATTACCTTTATCCGATCTGTAAAATATGACTGTTATCCAATCTGTGAAATATGACTAACAAAGTGCTTTATTGCTGCCAACCTACCGACCAAAGAGGGTTATTAACTCGCTACCTTTGCCAAGCAAAGGAAAACCCCTTTTAGAAGGGAGGATACAAAAGATTCACCTACCCGGAAACCTAATGAGTGCAATGGGACAATTGCTCACTGGGTGCTGGACACAGTTTGTGGGCTAACAGTATCACCTGCAGGATTGCTAACCCTCTTTCTTTTTGTTTTGTTTTTTTTAGACCTGACTCTCCTCACTTTTCTCTTTACCTAAGATTATCTGCTTCCAGGTACGTACACGCCTACAACCACATGTAACACCTTGACATAATGTACGTGTACTAAGTTTTGGTCCTCGCGCTGCAGAGAAGCCTTGGACAACGTGACTCAGACCAGGACAAGCAGGCGAACAGAAAGGAGGACCTTTACCCATCAACTTCGGTGCCGACTGGAGCTGTCTGTCTTGTGCGGGGCTTGACTCACTACCTGCAGATCCGTTGACTGGTACTTCTGTGTCAAACCACAGCAAAATAAACCTACATCATTTTTCCCAGCTCTGTTTTAAATAAGTTAATAGCAACATCCAGAATAAATTCCTCCCACTAACTTCTCCACAGAAGAAAACGAAATTACCTGAATAACTGCCAAAGAACCAGCCGCGGCCCGTTTCCCTCCGAGGAGCCCCCGCACAGCCCGCACAGCCCGCCCAGGCAGCTCCCCG